CTTGCTCATGGCCGTGCGTGTGTCTGTGCATTTTCTGTGCCCACCTAACCAGAAGTTATGTCTGGGTCTTGTCTGTGGCCAGAGGCTGCCGTAACAGTTGATCTTGCTTGTGGGAACGGCATGTAGAAGAACCAGAATCATATGGCTGACAGGAATCCCAGATGCTGCTTGTTAGCCACGTGACCTGTGACCAGCGCGCCTCTTAACCCCTCCAGGAGTGTTCCCACCTTCACAGGGTTATTGTGAGGACACAAGCAGAGCACCCCGGTGGGCTCCTTGAAACCTAGCATCTCCGTGGATGTAAAGATGGGTCCTGTCTTGTGTGAGGAGCCTGCCCTGTCATGGGGCCCCTCTGGAGGGGCTTCCTTCCTCACTGCACATCCAGAGCTCATCCTCAGATGGCCGGTGGGGCCTTCCTCCTGCTGGCTGTTGGACCTTCTCAGAGCAGTTTGGGTACTATACTCCTGGTGGCCAGAGGGGCGCAACCCCGGGGAAGAGTGTGAGCCTTGGTTGCTGTGCTTGGTGAAGCCAGAGTGACAGACACTTCCTACAGGTGACTCTTGGGGGGACTTGGATGGGGTTGAATTTGGGTGGAGATGTTGGGTGGAGTTTGGCGTGTATTTAGGAGCCTTTGCTCCTTTCTCCCCCACTGGCTTGTTATCCTGGGCAAGGCATCTATTTGCTTGTTGTGCCACAGCCATACTGATTCTTCAGTGTTTGTGAGGTACTTGTAGCCTCAGTGTGCCTGGCTTGTCACCAGTTCCAGGGTCTAGTGGTGGAGTGGCCTGTCCAGACCTGGCGCTGAGGAGACTGGACCAAGATGGACCTGGCGTGCAGGCTCCTGGTGCCTGCACCTGGGGTGTATGCATGTAACATGGTCTATAGCCCACAGGCTCAGTCCCAGGGTATGGGTCAGTGCCTGTTCTGTGGGCCTGTGAAGACATCCTTGGGAGTTCCGGTTGCCTCTTCTCTCTTGGGCAGCCAGCCCACTGACCACCCTTGTTGGCCCCTTCTCTGCTTCTGTTGCTCACCCTTCCTGTCCTGATGACCAGCTCTTCTGTTTTTCTTGTCAAAATTGAGAAAAGTGAGGCTCATGCTCCATAGTGAGGGACCCTGACCCTACAGGGCCTGGAGAAAGTGAGATATAGGGCAGAGAAGAAACGTGCGGCGCCTCAGCTCACGCTGGTGCTGGCGTTCTTCCCAGCTTGTCACCCCCCCTTATCCTCAGTACCATCTGTTACTTCCGTTGTCACCCCTGTAATCTTGACACCTCCCTAAGAAGCAGACTATCCAGGGAGTGCCTCTTCTGTCCTGAAGCAAGAGATGTGGGAGGCAGCCCTTGTACCCAGTGGGGCCCAAAGCCTCCGTCACTGCTAAACACCCCCTGTCCTGTGAAAGTGGCCGGTCACCCCCTTGCTGAGCCTTTCTGAAGTGGAAGCGAGAGCTGAGTAGAAGTTGTGGCAGCTGTCAGTGTCTGGTGGCTCTGAAGGGGTCACATATGAGCACCAGGGTGATGCAGCAGCTCTTCCTGCTCCCATGGAGGTGGGTGTGCCCTGCCCTCTTTCCCTCAGGGCCTTGGGCCTCAGGTGTGCTTGCAGTGTGTACCCACCCTGCGATCTGCCTGGATCTTCACCGGATTGGGTCAGGGCTGCGAGGTGAGGCTGGTGGAAAGGCATTGCTGATCCTAAAGGAAAAACAAAACTTTGGATGGTAGGAAAGATGCTGGACGTTTGGTGCCCATCGTGTGTTTGATGCTAACAGTCTATGGTTGGCTGAGGAAGTAGACTTTACCCATCAGCCAGTAAAGGACTAATCAAGCCTTGAGTGCCTCTTCAGAAGCCTGGGATGGTGGAGCCCCCTGAATCCTCAGACCTAGGTGGGAAAAGGTAGAGGTAGGTATTGAAGCTAGGAGGGCCATAGAAGTCTCTGTGGCTGTAGTTCAGCTACTGTGAGGCAGGGCCAGCAGCAGCAGCAGGATGACAGAGCAAAGGGCCTGACTGCCAGCTGGCCTCTGTGAGTCCCTTTCAGCCGTCTTGGGCTTCCTGCCTGTGTGCTGCCCTGTGGCCCTCAGGATCCCCAGGCTTAGCCCCCATAGCACAGGCTGTACCAGCCAGCGAGATGTAGAGCCGTGCAGGTAGGTAAGAGGGACGTCAGCCTGGGCAAGGGCTGCCACCCAGGATGGGAAGCCTAAGGTGCAGCAGGGCTGCTCAGTGCTGACTTCTTCCGGGGCCATGTGCATGCTCAGGCATCATAAGAGGATCTGTGGCTGGGAAGAGGCAATGGAGGGCAGGCCAAGGGACGCTTGGGCTGTAGCTGTGGTTCCCTGGACCTTGGGGCAGCTTAAATGTCCTCCTCAGAACATGGCTTCCAAATGCAGAAGTACAGGCCAAGTAGGAGGAATGGACCGGGGGAGAGGAATGAAGCCCTGTATGGTTGAAGTAGATTTCTTTTCTTTTTTTTTTTTTTTTTTTTTTTGTGGTACTGGGAATTGAACTCAGGACCCTGTGCTTGCCAGGCAAGCACTTATTCTGCTGAGCTATCGCCCCAGCCCCAGATTTCTGTCTTTTGAGGGCCCTAGAAGGACCTGCCTGGATCCTGGGGTTCAGGACTGGCTGTAGGAGTGGACCTGTGTCCATTCCCCACACCTGGCTGTAGGCCAGGGCCAAGCCTAATCATCTGCCTGGTGCTGGGGCGAGTGGGCAGGCGGCAGTGACCTGTTACAGTGTCACCTGTGCCTGCACTGGCTATATTGGTCCCATACATTTCTCTGCCCCTGGAGAGCACACTCTGCTGCCCGCTTCCAGACTAGCCGCCGCTTGGAACACCCTCCCCGGGTGCTCTGGGGTAGGATGCATGCCCTCTCTCTGGCTGCATAATGGAGCCCTAGAGTATGTGTGTTTCCTAGGCCTGCAGCGTGGGGATGATGGGCAGAGCTTTCTGGAAACTTGACTTTGACAGGAGATGTGAGTCCAGTCACCCTCAACTAATAAGCTGCTGCCTGGTTGTCTGTGTGCAGGAAGACGGAGTAGAGCCTTTCGGGGGCAAGGAAGCAGAGAGGGCCAAGGCTGGGGTTGTGGAAGGGGTGACCTTGGGCTGGAGGAGTAGTTTTGCTTAGAGCTTCCTTTACTTCTTAGGGTCAGGTAGGGAATGATTGCCCTCGTGAGAGTGACTGGTGGCCCAGCCACAGGCTCACCCATATTACCTTGGCTGTCACCATGATGCCACTAGGAAGGTTGATTTCTGCTCAGTTCTCCTGTTCTCTGTAATCACGGTAGTTGAGAGACACTGGTTTCCAGGTGTCCTCCCAGTTAAGGACAGGTATGACCTGTCTGTGTTGTTCATTTTACATCCCGCCCAGGGTATCAGCATCCCCACCCCCATCCTCCCACTTACTGCCCTTCTGGTTATTTCCCGTGACCTCTGACCTGGGCCTAAGGCTTGCTGTGGAATCCTGGGACCAGAGCCTAAGCCCTTCCTGGGAAAATTCCTGGGATTCCTTTTGGGCTCAAGGACGGTTGTACTTAGGAGCAGGGGTTCTGGCCGAGGCTTCTGCTCTGGCTATTTAAGGCCTTAGCAGCTGGAGCTGGGGAGGATGGTTTTGCCTAGAGTGTGGGTGGAGAAGGCTCCCAGTGGTACAGTGACTTCTGACTTCACAGGGCCTCCTCCAGGGCTGGAGCTCTCCTGGGAAGTGGGCTTCCTGTCTTCCTGGAAGGGTACTAAGGCCTGTAGAAGCTGGGATTATGAGCCTAAGGAGGAAAGAGTCCCAGTAGCCCAGCATGGTGGAGCACACCAGTACTCAGAAGGCTGAGGGAGAAGGATCCTTGTGAGTTCAATAGCAAGAACCCCCTGAACCACATAGCAAGACCCTGTCTTTAAAAAAAAAAAAAAAAAAAAGTTCCAACCCAGAGCACTGAGAAACTCTGGCAGGCTTGGTCTTGGGGGGCTTCTCTTTACCCAGGATTCAGGAACCACATACCCTGAGGTGGGGTGTCCTCTCTACTTCCACTCTAACCACCTACCTAGATTGGGCTGTCTTTGTTCATCCATACTTTCTCTGGCTGTGTTGGTTTGGACATCTAGCATATTCCCAATTCCCTCTGGATAGAAGCCTGTTCTGTGGGTGGTGAGGCCACCCAAATCCCACCTTGCCTGTGGGTGAAATGGGCATTCCTCTTGGCTGGCAGTTTGGGCCGCTCCAGAATGCCTGGCCTAAGCATTTCCTGATCAGGAAGAGGACTCGCTAGTTAGCCACGGGGTTGCATAACAGTGTGCTGTCTCTCTGTGCTCTGATGGCCAGGCCAGCGGAGCCAGCCAGCCCAGGCAGTTATTATTTTGGTGGTTGTCTTTGATGTGCCAAAGAAGCGAGGTCACAGAAGCCTGGGGCTTGGCTGAGGAGCCAAGCTTGTTAGTGATTAGAGAGGGGTGGTGGCCACCATGGAGTTTCTCTGTGTGTGTGAATGAGTGAGTGAGTGAGTGAGTGAGTGAGTGAGTGAATGTGTGTGTGTGTGTGTAGCTCAGAGCTGCCAGCTCTCTGTGTTCTGGAGTTTTGAAGATGTTGGGAGCCCCCTAGCACCCCAGGACTGCCTCTGTCCAGGGTCAGAGTCAGGATGATCTACCTTCTGAAGGTTCCTTCCCACGGAACAATGTCTCGGTCCTGAGAAGGTGACCAGGCTGTGGCCTCCCAGGCCAGCCTCCTGCACACTGCCAGGCCTCTGGTCCAGACCAGCCCTGACATGTTACATTGGGCCTTCCCTGGACTCTCAGTCTGTCTCAGTTGTGGAGAATTTCATATAAAGATCTAGATTTGGGGATTCTCTTGAGAAGGTGGATGACTTAGCAACCCCAGCCCTGCATTCGTATGGTTGGCTGGAGTTGCACGACAGTGGCTGCCACAGGACACACATGGGCATGGGCATTGCAGTCCCTCACCACCCATTCCCACCCCTCCTGAGGGGCCCGCTCTTGCGCACATCAGCGCTGTCTTTCATCCAGCAGGTGGCACAGCAGATGGCAAGAACAGTAGCCCTCCCAGTCACGCTGTCTGCTTCAGATCCTGGCTTCCCTGAGTGCTGTGGTGCTGTGCAGGTCCTGAACTTCTTGGTGTCTCTGTGCCTCACTATGTGACTGAAGCTGGCGTTCTAGGGCTAACATGTGGACTCAGCAAGATTAAATTAGAGTCGTACAAGTGAGCCCTCAATAAGTTGTGTTGTTGTGGTTATTGTCATTATTCTATCCTGTCCTCTGTATCTGTCTGCGTCACTCGCCTGGCATTTCTAGGCACTGCAGAATCAGCTCCCTGAAGCCCAGGGTGTGGCACCCCCCTTCTCACTGCCAGCCTTCGCAGCGTCTGGCATACGGCAGGTGGGTCCTGTGCATGAATTGGTAGACCCAGCGCGGGGGAGGCAGCGTTGACGAGTGGTTCAGGGCAGAGTTTGCCCCGCTCCGACATCTCTGTCCTGCTCTGGCAGGAGCTCTAGCTTCTTACCGCTTTCTTTGCCTTTCTTTTTCTGCCACACACATCTGGAAAGGACCGTGTGAGTTCACCTGGGGGGCCTTGGTGGGTGCTGGGTCATCTGTGACAGCTGTTCTTCCCTGTCACACATGGCCTCCACGCTGCTCCTCTGGAGGCTCCTGTTTGTCTGCCTCCTCCCTGTCCTGTGCACCCAGGGCTGCGCTGTGGAGGAGACTGGCACTGGGGCAGAACCCGCTCAGCGGCTAAGGGCTGTCGAGCCAGGGGCAGTGGGAAGAGCCTGGAGTAGGGTGGCCTGCAGCTCTCTCTTCTCTGGTTTCTGGTTCTGCCTGCCTTAGGCTGGCTCCCCCAGTGTTCGCAGGACAGTGGTGCAGATCCGGCGCGGGTCACTTGCTTGGCAGTGGGCCCACCGTGGAAGCAGGCTCCTTGGTTTCCACCCCTGGTGTTGCTGGCAGTGGGAAGGCTTTCCTCACTTTGTGGCACCTGAGCTGTGTAGGAGCTGCTTTAGGGGCTGCTGGTTCTTCCAGGCCGTGACCACACTGTGGTCAGCAGGGTGGCGCTGAGGAGTGAGGGGCACACCTTGGATCACTTGTTCTCGAGGCGGAATCCGAGCTTATGGAGGCTGGCATTAGTGAGAGTCACTTTTGGAGTACGGCCAGGAGCCACATCAGTTACGGGACCCTAGAAGAACACTCTCTCCACCAGGACCAGTGGCTGGACGTTTCTCGGTGTATGTCAGTGTGTGTGCACAAGAACATGTGTGTTGCGTAGCCTGATACCCCCACTGGTCCTTCATACTCCTGGGCAGACATAATCCGGGTCTGAGACCCCAGTGACAGACAGTGCAGCTTTGGCAACAGCTTGGAGTGGTGACCTGCCTGTCTTCCACACCCAGCAGCTCGCTGTGTGAGTAAAGGGCTGGGCTGTGCTGGGGTAGGAGGGCCTCAGGAGCCCCCAGGGCTGCTGTGAGCCTCTTAAGCCCTGGACTGTGAGTGAGAAAGTGGGGGGGGGGGCTGAGGCGTAGACAGCCTCTGTCTCTGTAAGCACTGGGTGGCGTGTGTGTGTGTGTGTGTGTGTGTGTAGGCGCATATGCGGTTTCCAGACACAGCTGACGCGGTAGGTTTTGGCGGCAGACTACAGGATGTTGGATTGCATCCTGATTGTGTCACCCTTGGAAGAAGGGGATGAATAAACACATAGCCTTCTCTGCAAGCACAGCACGCCTTCATTTTAGAGAATTTTAGTCTTGCCCGAAAAGAGAAAAGCTCCTGCCTCACTATTCTGTCCTCCATTTGATCCTCCCGCTGCTGCGAGTAGGTGCAACAGAGCCCGGATAGTCAGGCCCTCTGTGAGGCAGGCCGTGTGGTGGCAGCCACAGCCCATGTTCAGTAGCTTATGCATGGCCAGTGTCCAGTGCAAGGGTGGGAACCTGGCCTTTCCCAACTTGCGGTTGGCTTCCTGAAGCTTGTGACACAGACAGAGAACTCATATCTAAAGGGGTGCTAAGGTGCAGGGAAGTGGGGTCGCACTGGTGGGGGGGTCTGCACATGATGTAAGAGCCCGGGCCAGGTGAGAAGAGCTGCCAGGAAAAAGGTAAAGAGAGCTCTGGGGCCAGGGAGGGCAGGGCTGGAAAGCTGAACTCGGAAGGAAGCTGCTGGCTAGAATTGCACATTCTGGGCTTCACGTGCTGCCTCTGGGGGTGGGGTGGGGGGCAAGCTGCCTGGGGACCCCTCTGCTGGGTGTTGGCAGCCCGGAGGGAGCTGGGCTTGAGTGAGGAGGTTCAGACGTAGTGCTGTGGGAAGGGGTGGTGGAGAACGGGGTCAGCTGTTTCAGAGGGTCCTTGGAGAGAGGGGCTCTAGAGAGAACAGGATCTCAGAGGTTCCCTAGACCTGTGTGGAGGCAGTACCATTGCCCAGATGACCCTGTGGGCTCTGCGCTGTAAACGACTGGAGGGCAGAGGGCTCTGGCCACAAGGAGAGACTGTCCAGAGGCTCTGGCCGCAGAGCTCAGGTGCCAGTGCCAGGAGCTCCCTCAGTGGGGCGGCAGCCCCCATACCATCTGGCCCCCAGCCCCTGAGCTCTGTGCCTGCGCCTGCATTTGCAGAAGGGCTGCAGTGGCTCTGACTGCTAGCTCCTGTGCCGGCCCTTCAGGACCTACCCGTCTCCCATCCTCTGCAGCTGGGAGCACGTGGGAGCCTGAGCTTTCTGTCCTTGTCCTTTCAAGCTGGGAGTCAGGGACAGGGGCTCCCAAAGGAGGAGGCCATGCATGGAGCCGCGTGCGTCACTTGCCCAGCATGGGGCCCACCGTGGAAGCAGGCTGCTTGGTTTCCACCCATGGCGTTGCTGACAGCAGGAAGGCTTTCCTCACATTGTGGCACCTGAGCTGTGTAGGAGCTGCTTTAGGGGCTGCTGGTTCTTCCAGGCCGTGACTCTGGGAACTTTCCTTGGGGGCAGCATCTCGCTCTCATTCCCAGGGAAGCCAGCAAAGCCATCCACACACATCTGAGTTGCCCTGGATGCCCTGCCTTGGATCCTTGTGGCTTCTTTTTTTTTTTTTTTTTTTGGCAGAACTGGGGATTGAACTCAGGCCCTTGCGCTTGCCAGGGAAGCACTTATTCTACTGAGCCATCTCCCTGGCCCCTTGGCTTCTCCTTAGAGTGTGGTGGGCTGGCTCTAGGGCTCTGGCTCAGCTGGAGTTGGCTGTCCCCGCCCCTGCTACGGCCAGGCCCAAACCCCCCTTCCCCCCAGGCCCTCTAAGTACTGTGGACAGACAGATGGGATGGGAGGGTGGCAGGATGGGTGGTGGGCCCTCTGTGTATGGGAAGGAGAGGTGGCGGTGGAGGCCCCTGTGTTGGAGCATGTGCAGGAGTGGTTGGGAAAAGGAGGGCCTTGGAGGGGTGGCAACTTCACCCTCTCCCCAGAGCCACTCACAACACGCGTGCTTTCCTTCTGTGGCTCGTTGCTCCCAGGCGTAGTCTCTCCTGCTTGCCCTGGTTCTCTAGGGGCTCACTGCCTTGCTTTGCTTCTCTCTCGCAGAGTGTGGAGCCGGAGTCCCGGAGCCTCTCTCTGGGTGGCCATGTGGGCTTCGACAGCCTTCCTGACCAGCTGGTCAGCAAGTCAGTCGCTCAAGGCTTCAGCTTCAACATCCTCTGTGTGGGTGAGTATCATGGCCTGGCTGGGGCTGTCCTCACAGAGCGTGGCTGAGAACCTTTAGGAGCCCTGGCCACTTGTCCAGCTGCGTGGGGCGTCCCAGGCAGAGCAAAAGGGTTTGGTCAGTGTCTCTGCTAGGTGCAGGACAAATGGGAACTGGTGCCTGACACCAGGCCAGTCTTGTCATGAAAAGAACCCAGGACTAAGCTCGTGAAAGTGCTTTGTAAACTGCCGATGTTGCTCACTGTGATCTAGATTGATTGATTGATTGATTGGTGGTACTGGGGATCGAACTCAGGACCTTGAGCTAGATTCATTTATTAAAAAGCACATACTGTGTCAAGGATACAGTGGCAAGCCAGTCTCTCCCCTTCATCTAAATAGCATGTGACAAATATCCAGCCTGTGTCTGAACAGATCTCCCTCCCCCTGCCCCTGGGCCTGTCTCTGGAGTGCCTGGCCAGCTCCTCTGCAGTTTCCCTTCCCTCCCCACAGTTAGAATGACATGATGCTGAGGTAGCCCAGGTCCTGTAGGCTGGGCCACTGGTGGCTACAGACCCCGGCCCTGCTCCTGCTCCAGGCCCATGCTGGGCCTTGCAGGGTTGGACTCAGGGCACCATCCTGTGTTAGATGTCCTGCCACCTTTCTTCCCACTTCCCTCCCACTGTATTCTGCCTCTTCTCTCTTTTCTCCTGTTTCCCTCTCCCTCTTCTATTCCCATTTCCATCTCGCATTCTTTCTGCTGGGGATTAAACCCAGGGACCGTGACACGCGAGCTCACTGCATCCCCCTCATTCATGCACACGTGCACACACATTATTTCCAGGGCCTCTGACTTGAGGGCTGGGTCATGGATGGAGTGGGAGCCCCGCTGCCACTTTCACTTGCATCAGGGCTGAGAACGCCTGGGCCCTCACCTGGCCTGGACCCCATCCAAGGAGAGCCCTGCCTTGGGGTTCATTTCTTTCCCTCCTGTCTCTGCTCTCTAGGGGAGACTGGCATTGGCAAGTCCACACTGATGAACACACTCTTCAACACGACCTTTGAGACTGAAGAAGCCAGTCACCACGAGGAGTGTGTGCGCCTGCGGCCGCAGACCTATGACCTCCAAGAGAGCAATGTGCACCTCAAGCTGACCATTGTGGATGCCGTGGGCTTCGGGGACCAGATCAATAAGGACGACAGGCAAGAGACGGGAAGGGAGGCCCTGCCTGGCCTGTTCCCTGGGGACCCTTTACCTCGAGCTGCCCCCCAGTCTGATAGCTAAGCCCCCACACTTCAGAGGGGCTGGGGAAAGGCATCAGGCAACATCCAGGGCTTGGTGGCCATGAGCTGGCCAGTTGTTCTTTGGGGTGGGTGGGTTGGAAGAAGGACTTAGCTGCCCTAGCAGAGAACACAGATGTTCGTTCCCTGGGAAGAAGGGGTGGTGGTGGCAGGAAGGCAACCTGCTCCCCTGGCCGCGGCTCAGCTCTTGCTCCCAGGTGACGGAGCTGTCTGTAGTTACAGGCCCATAGTTGACTACATCGATGCACAGTTTGAAAACTATCTGCAGGAAGAGCTGAAGATCCGCCGCTCCCTGTTTGACTACCATGACACACGGATCCACGTGTGCCTCTACTTCATTACACCCACCGGACACTCCCTGAAGTCCTTGGACCTGGTGACCATGAAGAAGCTAGATAGCAAGGTGCGTGCCACGCCCCCATTCTGTGCAGGCTCTCTGGCCTTTCTCTGGAATGGGACACACTGGCTGCAGCTCGGATGTGCCCTGGTCCCTTGGAGAAACAGTCAGGAGCTTGCACACAGCCCTGTGGCTCGGCTCTCTGGGTTGTATCTTGCAGTGGTCCCTATCACTGTCACCGGTCTCCAGGGCACCCCCTCCTCAGGGCTTTTTTCCGAGTCCTGGCCCTAAACCCCTTCCTTCTGTCCTCGGCGCTGTTGGCTTGTTTCCCTCTTCCTGGAATGATGTCCACCTCTAGCACCCTCTGCTCCCAGGGTCCCTTCCCCTTCCCATCTCAGCCTCCTGCCTGCCCATGTTCCCTGGACTCCAGATGCCCAGCTCTGCCCCCCTTGCGCCCTCACTCTCTGACATGGACTCTCCTTGGGTTCATTCTGAGCCTACTGGTGGGCAAGAGCACAGCCCTGAACTGGGAGAAATGAGACATGAGGATGGTTCTGTGGAGAGGTCAGAAGGGTTTGGGGTCCTGGAGGACACTTGCCGCAGTTGCCTGTCAACATTCATGTCACTGCCTCCCCCTCGGGTTAATTTTTACCACTGAAATCTTCGAGATCTTTGGATCGCTCACCTCTCCCACTTGGTGGGAGTTCAGGCTTCATTTCCTGCTTCTGTCATACCCTGGGACAGTTAATACATCAGAACATTCTGGGTCAAAGCTGAGGGTCCCCAGGGGGCCAGTTCTAGGCCCAGATGGTGACTTAGGGAAACCAGAGCTGTCTAGAGCCTGGCAGCCAGTTGTCACGGCTACAGCACAGCCTGGCGGCCTCGAGGCAGCGCCCCCTTCCTGCTCCTCTCGTAGGGAGGAGGGTGTCTACACCCAGCCAGCTCACTGCTCTCCTTCCCCTCTGGCAGGTGAACATAATTCCCATCATTGCCAAGGCTGACACCATCTCCAAGAGCGAGCTCCACAAGTTCAAGATCAAGATCATGGGCGAGTTGGTCAGCAACGGGGTCCAGATCTACCAGTTTCCCACCGATGACGAGGCCGTCGCGGAGATTAATGCCGTCATGAATGTGAGTGTTGAGCAAGGGCCTTGGCTCCAGGGCCAGAGGCTTGGAGCGGCCAGACCACAGGCACAGCCCCAGGCTCCTGTGCTCCCCAGCATTCCAGCCTTGCCTGCACCAGGACAGCAGACCGCTGGACATCTCCTGCCAGCCAGTGCTGTATCCCGTAGGCAGGGGAGAAGAAGGGGACACTGGGCTGCCTTGGGCTTTTCCAGACTGAGTCACAAGATCTGGCCTCGGGGGAAGCTAAAGCCCACAGGATTGACAGACTAGAGGCCAGGTCAGAGAGCCTGGGAGGGGGCCAGCCCCAGAGATCCTTTCAGGGAGCTCTGAAGGCCCTGAAAAGAACACTCCCAGAGACTCCAGGAGAGAACAGGTCAGAGTCGGGAATGCCAGGGGGGCTGAGAGTTCAGCTCAGTAATGCTTTGCAAGATCTAGAACGTTTCTTCAGAAGGACTAGCAGAAGCCCAGTGTGGTGGTGCACGCCTACAGTCCCAGCACTGGGAGGCTGAGATAGGATTATTGGAAGTTCGAGGGCTGCCTGGCTTACATATTGAGTTCAAGGTCAGCCTGAACTACATAGCGAGACCTAGTCTCAGAAAATCAACAACAAAACCCCACAGTGAGGCTCTGGCCGCAGGGGCTGGGCGCGTCCGCCCTCCCTGGTCTGCTTGGTGCTCATGTGTACCTGGGTCCTTTCCAGGCACACCTGCCCTTTGCCGTGGTGGGCAGCACCGAGGAGGTGAAGGTGGGAAACAAGCTGGTCCGAGCGCGACAGTACCCCTGGGGCGTGGTGCAGGGTGAGTGCGCCCAGCTTGTGCCCGCCCCGCCTGCGCTGCCCTCCTCCACCTGTGTGAACTGCATCGCTGGCCCTTGTGCACACTGGCTCGCCCGCACATTTGCCTGCCTCACGCCCGCCTGCCCCTCCACTTTCAGTGGAAAATGAGAATCACTGCGACTTCGTGAAGCTCCGGGAGATGCTGATCCGGGTGAACATGGAGGATCTCCGTGAGCAGACCCACAGCCGGCATTATGAGCTCTACCGGCGCTGTAAACTGGAGGAGATGGGCTTCCAGGACAGTGACGGGGACAGCCAGCCCTTCAGGTGACAGCCGCGCCTGCCCCTGGGTCGTGTTGGGCCGGGCTGGAGCTGCTGGGCACCCAGTCTCCTCGGGCCCAGAGCCCACCTGTGTCTGCACTTGGGCTCCGCCCAGGCCTCCTGCCGAGGCATCATCCTCAGCCTCTCCTCTGGGTCTCCACAGCCTTCAGGAGACCTACGAGGCCAAGAGGAAGGAGTTCCTCAGTGAGCTTCAGAGGAAGGAGGAGGAGATGAGGCAGATGTTTGTCAACAAAGTGAAGGAGACAGAGCTGGAGCTGAAGGAGAAGGAAAGGGAGGTGCGGAGGCTGCAGGGTGTGGAGGCTGCCCAGCGTGCGGGTTGGCCCTGGCCCTGGCCTGGCCCGCACGGGCATGTGTGCCAAGCGCCGCTCTTTCCCCCCAGCTGCACGAGAAGTTTGAGCACCTGAAGAGGATCCACCAGGAGGAGAAGCGCAAGGTGGAGGAGAAGCGCCGGGAGCTGGAGGAGGAGACCAGCGCCTTCAACTGCAGGAAGGCGGCTGTGGAGGCCCTGCAGTCCCAGGCGCTGCACGCCACTTCACAGCAACCCCTGAGGAAGGACAAGGACAAGAAGAAGTAGGTGGCGGCCGTGCTGGCCCTTTCTCCCCGCGTTCTCTGAGCTTTACTTCTACTTTCGTGTCCTGTGTCGTCCCCCCCCCCCCCCCCGTTTGCTGTCTTGCTTTTTAGCTCTTGACTCTCCTTGCACTGGTGCTCTTGGTGTCTCATAACCCGGATGTTTCTGTCTGTCTCTCCCTCTATCCATTTCTCTCTCGCCCTCTCTGGGGGCGTCACTCAGAGGGAGACAGGCCCTGTGACTGTTGGCATTTCTGCATGGAAGGCCAAGTACCTCCACCTCAGTCTCTGAGGGCGTGGGCCCCCCACCAGCTGGCGAGGGTGACCTCAGGCATCGCGACACTGCCCCTGTACTCTGATCTCTGGACCATTTGGAAGGGGTATGGGTTGACAGGACTATAGCCGTCTGCAGGAGTACTTAGTTTTCCTAGGGAGCAGAGCTCCTCGGGGAGGCTGGAGTTGTTCCTGTAGAGAAGGCAGAGAAAGATAGGACCTGCTCGGCCTCCAGGGGTGTCATCCGCCTGGTGCCTGGTGGGGCCAGTCTGGCCTTTTGTCAGTGTGTGTGTGGTGATGGGTTAAGAAGCCAAGGCCTCACATATGCTAAACAGGCAGGCCCGTGCCCCGAGCTCCGGCTCAGCCCTCCTGGCATCTTTCCTAGCCTGTGTCCACACCCTGAGCTGGTGCCCATGGGTCCTGGCTGTCAGGTAAGAACCTGGCTGCTTCCACAGTGGGCATCTCTGTCCACTCTGGCCCTGACCGACCTGGAACTGTCTTTTTCATGACAGCCCAGGAAATAAGCGCATGTCCCCGTCCTGGGCTCCATCTCCCGGAGTGGTTGGTGTTTGCGAGCATAGACCCTCTGTGCAAGACAGCAGCGAGGCCAGTGGTCAGGGCCACCAAATGTGCAGTCGGCTGTGGCCACAGATGTGGCTTCTGGCGAGAGCTCTCCCGGGGCCGCTTCTACATCGCGTTCCCTAACGCACAGGCCCCCTGCGCTGTCTGTCTGTCCGCCTCATCACGTGCAGCCCAGGGCGTGTTCTTCCCACACAGTGCACTGGTGCACAGGCAGGAATCGGAGGGGAGAAACGGAAGGTGCTGCTCCTGAGGGAACTGGGGCCAGAACCAGGCCATTAGGAGGTGGATTCTAGTTGTCAGTTTTCCCTTCCCTGGAAATAGTGATTTTCTTTTTTATTTTTTTAAAAGTTGAGTTGGTAATGTACATAGCATGTTGCAGGGTGGTTTTTGTTTTGTTACTTCCTCTCCCTTCCACCCTCTTTCATCGTTGGGCTCCTTCCCATTTCAGCTGTCATTTCTTTCTTTCTTTTTTTTTTTTTTTTTTTTTTTTTTTCAGTGTATTTGGTAACAGGGTCTCACCATACAGGTTGGACTTGTAGTGATCCTTCTGTTTTCAGCCTCCGCAGCACTGGGGGTACAGGTGTGCGCCACCAGGCTTGGTTTCGGTGGCTGGCTCATTGCTCCTGGGGCGGGGCCAGTGCAGCAAATGGTGCCAGGGTTTGAACCCTGGTCCCTGCACTTGCCTAAGCAGGCACTTAGTCAGTTGAACTAACTCACCGGCCCTCAGCTGTCATTTCTGAGACCTCCATTTTGTAATCTGTACCCCAACCCCCAGTGATCCTAGCCCGGCTACTGGCACTGCTGGGAAGGCTAAGGCTTTTCCTATCGCCAGGGAAGCCCCAGCCTGTGCTCCCCTCAACCCTGAGTGCTTCTCCTTTCCAGTGGCTTCTAAGCATGTCCCCCATCTAGCCCTTGGCTTCGTGAGCTTGATGGTTGGGAGGTACCTGGGTGGGTTTCTAGCTGGCCACTCCAAAATCTGATTTCTCCTTGGGGATGGGGGACAGGGGGTGGGGGCAGAGGCCTAGGGACCCAGAGTGACTTGCCCTGCATCCTACCTGCTTAGCCCAGGCCCACTTGCTGTAGAAAACCTAGGCAGAGTTTCTGGGAAAGATGCTGTAGAGAAATCTCTCAGAAATTGAATCAGAGCCCTGGAGCCAGGCTGGCCCTAGGCCCAGGGGTGGAGGGGGCAGGGAGTTGGGGTGTAGGCCATCTACAGGGTTCCAGCACAGCTTCAGGGGAACTCATCATTTGTGTCTGGTCGCCCTGGCATGTTGCCCTCCAGGCCCAGCTCAGAAGATAGGCCCTTTGTTGGCTGGGAAGCTGCAGTCCGTTTGGTCCCTCTCCTTGCTGGCTGTGGAAGCCAAAGTGGGTGGGTTGGGTGGGCCGCCCACGTCCTCGCCCAGCCTGCTGGAGGGAATAGGGCGGATTGGGAGTGCATTTTGGAGGTGGGCATTTTTCAGGACCATTTAGTTGAATGGCTTTGATTGGTAGTCATATTTCTTCTTTAAATTTTAATCCATTTCTGCAAAATTACTTCCCAATCAGATCTTGACCCTCAGCCTGGGACGTCACAAACTGAAGCCAGTTCTGCTTCGCCCGTCACAAATGCCAAACTGACTGCCCTTCCCCAGGGTCCGTCTCGCTGTCTTTTGCTTCTGTTTGATTTAGTCTTCGTACCTTTTAATGTGTCTGTTTTTGTTTTGTTTGTTTTATTTTTATTTTTCAGTTAACGCACGCACAGACTTACATGTCAAGAGCGGACTTTCATGTGTTAAGACTTTCATGTGTTAAGTTGCTTGAGTTACACCTTGTGACCCTTCTCCCATAACATGGTGTGAGGACGGACGGGGAGCCAGGACAGACGCCAGTGTTTACGGCCTTGCCCCCGCCCCGGCCCGGCCCCAGGCCACCCTTGGGTCTGCGACCCTTGCCCTCTATGCACATGTGCAAAAGCCATGAATGCTGGAACCCCAAACTGACGAGGTTTATTTTTTTCAGAGCCAGTGGCTGGTCTTCCATTTACAGTGTCACTATCCCTTGACGGAGCAGGCATAAGGCCCTCTAGCGAAGGCCCAGCCGCAGTGCTAGGCCTCGTTGTCCAGCGTCCAGATGGCGGCTCACGTGGTGCCCCAGGCTCAGCCTGTGGTCTGGTAAACATGCTGCAGGATTTGTCTGCTCCCCTCTTTAATTTTTTCTAACCTAGAGTTTAATTTCAATAATAACTGAAAAACTTCTAAATTTTTATTTTGGCACCAGGGTAAAGACAAATATTCTCTCCCTTTATTTTTGTAAGTAACACAGACTCCCTGGTTTTTAAAAACTAAAAAAACTTTTAAGCCTTTCTTATGTACAAAGTACTCCTATAATAACATACAGGGAGCGGTGGGTAATAAACTTCCTGTACTGACAGTGTTGGAACTTTCTTTACCAATGGAAGTGGACCGTGAGCAAGAGCACGTCCAGCGCTTTCACTGTGAATGTAAATGGAACAACAGCCCCAAGCCATTGTCTCTGGCCAGAGGTGCTACCTGGGAAGGGGACCAATGCCATGTCTGTGTGTTAAGTGTTGAATTCCAAGTAAGACTCCCAGCCAACCTGGCTCTCCAGTGCGGAGAGGCTCTGGGAAAGAGGCAGCTGCCCTGGGCTCATTGCTTCTTTCTTCCAGGCTGAGGCACAAGGCAAGAGGAGGAGCTACCTGATACATTTAGGACAATTGGAGAAAAAATGAGCAGTCTGGGGCTCTTCTCCTTCAGCTGCACCGTACAGAACAACTTTGTAAGACCCTCCTAGCAGCATTCAGTCTTCTGTGTGCTTTGCACCCTGGGAGGTAAAAGTTGCTGTCTGTGCCGCTAGGCGCCCTCGGCCTTCCTGGGTGGAGCCCTGCCAGGCATCCTCTGTATTGCTGGGTTGGTAGCTTTTCACAGCCCGTACTTCTGCATCACCATTTCTTCCTCCCTGCCCAGCCTGCTTTATTGATCTCCATGACCAAATCTGGGCTTCCTCCTATCCCTCTTGAGATGATGTTGGATCTGAGAGTTAGGTAGAGGCAGAGTCCGGCCCAGTGGTACATGCCTATAATCCAGCACTCGAGGCTGAGGCAGGAGGATCACTAGGCCTGGCCACATAATGAGTTGAAGGCCAGCCTGAACTCCATAGGAGACCCTGTCTCAATGCCCCACCATGCAGAAAAGGGCCAAGTGGGAGGCTGGACTCTGATGGGTCCACTGAGGCACAGCCAGAAATGGGCAGCCTGTACAGGTGAGGGGCTCCTCATGCCAGCAGTAGAGGAGATTTTATTGATACCTCAAGTGAAAATTCTCCTACTGTTACACCGTGACCAGGGCTGGAACTTGAACTGTCTAGGGAGGCTATGTTAAGCCACGTCCAGGCCTGAAAGCAGACACACCTGGGTCAGAGCCCGCCCTGGACACTCCTCTCCTAGTGGGTGGCTTTCTGACAGCGAGGCTCAGTGACCAGCAGGGGCAGTGCTTCTGTGAGAGTGAGGACGCCTGCTTCATGGGCCTCCAGGCGGACCCTACACCTGCCCACTGTGGGTCAGGGAAGGCCTCGCTGTGGTGCCTGCTGGCCTGCCGACCTGAGAGACTGCCCAGCAGCGCTAGCAGGTTTGGGGTCTGAGCTGCTGCACAGGACCGTCAGCTTTAGCTCACCTCACTGCACCCCACCCCTGCTGCTTGTGTTGGGAATTTTGTCGTTTTGAGCTGAGACCAAATTCTTGGTGTACAGGGTGAGCACAACTGTTCCTAACCAGCCCACTGTGAAGCATGGCTCCCATGTGCAGATCTCATGTGTCCCCTCATCATTCGCTGGCATCATTTGGGATGTTCCAGAGGACCATGTGGCATTCACTATCATATCTTCCCTAGCCTGTTGGTTTGGGGTTGAATCACCGTGTAATTGGGACTTGTGAGAAAGAAAGGGGCGCTGTTAATCATGGTAGGCCAACAGCACCCAAACCAGCCCGGATGTGTGGTCTCACGCATTGGGGGAATCTGAGTCTATGGTTCACGAGTGTACAGACTGACTGCATTTGTGTCTCTGTCTGTCTGTCTGTCTGTCTGTCTGTCTGTCTGTCTGTCTGTCTGTGGGGCTCCGGTAACTGGTGGCACTGTGAGGGAGTGTGCCTTGCTAGTCTGTTATGTTAATGTGCTTTTCTAAAACTGCTTCATTGGTTAATTCATTTACTCCATTCATTGACTGTTTCTGTTCTTCTCCATTCACTTTGTACTTTTTTTTTTCCCCATTAAATTTTACATTTATTTTGAGCTTTTATGGTGTCTTTTTTTGTGCATCATTTTTGATTTAACAAATTTCCCAAGCCTATTAATACGCTGCAGCTGAGTCGCTCTTGGGAGGGAGGAGGAGGAGGAGGAGGAGAAAAGGGTGTCGCCCAGCAAGCTTGGTGTGGTAATTGAGTGGAGGGCTGAGAGTAGGTGCGGCCTGCTCTCAAGGCAAGCAGGGAAGGGGGACCTGGGACAGCTAACGTTTGCGTGCATGTGACTGCATCACACGCACTAACACTGCTAATCCTCATCAGGGTCCCAGATCAGATGTCCTCACGTTCCCTGCTTAGAGGTGAGGCAGAGGTTACAGTGTTACTCGGTCACACACAAGAGACTGGAAGGATTTGAAGGTTGGGTGTTGTCTCCTCAATTCCTGGGTTCAGCTGCTCCTTGTCTTTCTCTGGAAGGAGAGCGAGATGTAGCACGGTTAGCGTCCCTGCTTTGACAGTGAAAGTGCTGAAGAAATAGTTTTCTAGAGGTGGGATGCTGTTTGGCTCAGGAAGGGAAGACTGGTGGCTGAAGAAAAGTCCTGCACCTGAGACCATTTATTGTGGGCCTCTCTAATCCTAGAAAGATGAAAAAATGAGAAAATAGGGACTGAGGCCTTGGCCCTGCACAGCTCACCTCTACCTTGGGTTGGGGGGTGCGGGAGAGGCAGTGTTCTCATCTAGCTATGAGGAAAGAGCTGGACAGGGTGTGGGAACAGACTTACCCAAACCCCCTCATCTGGGGAAGGATTCTGTGGCCACATCAAGAAAGGTGGGCAGGGCTGGTGAGATAGTTCAGTGGACAGTGCACCTGCTTAGGCAAGCACAGGGACTGGGGTTCAATCGCCAGCACCATGTACTGGCCCCACCCCCGGGTGTGCTGAGCTGGCCACTGAAACTGGGTGTGGTAGACACCTGTAATTCCAGCACCGGGGAGGCTGAAAATAGGATCGCTAGGACTCTGAGCTGCATAGTGAGACCCTTACCAAATACATTTTTTAAAAAAGGTGGGCGGTATCTCCTACACCTCGTAGCTCTTACTCCATCTGCCTCTGGTTTCCTCCGTTCCCATTCCTGCAGCTTTCACCAGTCTTTACCTCTGTGGAGGGGAAAGGAAGCTGGGCTGTCTCTACGAGTCCCCCCTACTGGGATTCCCCATGTCTGAAATGTTGATAGAGTAGGACCCAAGGCAAACTTGGGACAGTGCCCGGCTTTTTGAAAACATGCATGTCAGCTGCCCCAAATGCAACACCCAGCATTTGTGGAAGGGCTGTCCCTTAGCTCAGTATTAGGGTACACAGGTCCACTTCTCTCTTCACCCAACAGAGTGAGAACAGCTCTGGGAGCTGTTTATGGCTGGAGCCACCAAGTTAGACCAGCAGCCTCCAGCAGTTCCCCAAAACCTGAGCCTGTGTGGGCTGGTGTGGGCCTTCAGAACGTGCTCCTTCCCACCTGCTCCAGCGCCCCTCACTAGAAGGACAGAGGCCAGGGCAACTGTGGCGTCTCAGCACCTCTCGGCCCTGTCTCTCACTTTGGTCTTCCAGGATCTGCCTAGATGACGGCTGCTGATCGCGGTTACTGGTGTGCGATCAGGAGAGTGCTCTGTTTGACTATGGAGTCTAAACAGTCACAGATGCAAATAAGATCCGGACAGCATTGCTGACAAAGTTTATTTTAATGTAAACTCTCCAAAACAAGGCTTGTCAAGAAAAGGTAGCAATTACACTGACAATATAGACCTGATTATTGTAGATATGGTCCCTGACTGCTGCCACACCCCCAAACCTCCACAGAACAGCATTCACAAAACAGAAAAGTCACCAAGGAAATGTCACAGCCCCCTCTAAGTGCATGGCTCAGTCATTGAAGCCCCCAGTACTACTGACACAGCTCCAGCGCAGAGATTCAGTAGTATCGAGGCTTCAGAGAGGCAGCTGGTCTCCTCCTCTGCACAAGTAACCTAACAGCAGTGGGAGCAGCTCGGGCCCCAGTACCTGCTCCCAGCCCAACAAGAAGCTGAGCTGGCTGCACAGGTATACCCAGTAACATGCATTCGTCGGCAAGGCCTTCCTCTTGCTAGTCCAAGAAATGCCCTCACTTAAGAGGCTGCGGCAGGAGAATCAAGTTTGAGCCCACCCTGGGCAACTTAGGAAGACCTTGTCTCAAAATCTAGAAGGGGTTGGGGGTGGCTCGGTGGCAGGGTGCCCTGGGCTCAATCCCTGGATGGGATAGTGGGCAAAGGATGAAGGTGCTTATTGCTTGCTCAGGGTTACTACACGTTACTACACATGGTCCATACCCAAAAAGATATGTCACCACCAGGCAGGGTAAGTGGGTGTGGAGGACTGAACAGCTGCAAGGAAGCATGTGGGCGCATGTTTGGGATAGGCGTGGGAGGCTGGAGCGCCCCACCAGCGCTGGTGAGTAGAACAGCAGGAAGTGGCCAGTGAGGACCGCCCCCTGCCCTTTGGCCGGGATCAAGGCCCACTCAGGTCTCCCCATTTCACCAGGAGCAAGGAGGCAGGGAGGTGTCTGCCCGGCCAATTTACCTCTACTGAGCCCTGCCCCTGTTTTCTCTGAGGACTGCAGAACTCCCGTGGTTGCTCTTCCAGGGCTTGCTACCCTTTTTACAGGATTAGTATAAGCCGGAGAATTCCCAGGTGTCCGAGCCAGGAGGGCTCCCGTCATCTCAGAAGCCCCGGGGTAGTGGCAGAGAAGCTGGGTGCCAGGTGGCTAGTTGTCTGCTTGGGCAGATAACAACGAACTTTCCAGTTCCTGCAGCATAAGCTCCTTGCAGCGGCTGTACTGCTCAGGACCGACCTGTGTGCAGAGGCCAGCCTTGAGCAGAGCCGTCCTTGGTTCTGAGGCGTCGGCAGCCAAGTGCTGCCGCGTTCTCATGAAGCAGCCCAGCACCCAGCTCAACCTCAGTAGCACTCCTCATTATGCATTCCATCCTGCCCCATCTGTCCCGAGGGCTTCAGCCTGCTCCCACAAGCTGTATTCAGATGGCCACTGACAGGTCCAACATGCAGCCCTACCATGATACTGAAGACTGTCGCTGTCAGAAGCCCGCTCCCGTTGGTCCAGAAGGAATGTGCGCTACGCTCAGGTCAACAGGCTGGCCACGTACGCACTGCCCAGCCATAGGCCTACTGCTGCCGGAGCTGTCACGGCCAGGGCATCTTTTGCCGCCCTTTGGCAACCAGGAAGGGCCCTGGGTACCTCTTACCTTGGTAGAGTTAGAGTGTCAGCTGAATGGGGACAACTAGAGCCTGGCCTGGGGCAAAGTTGATGTCTACCTGTGCTTTCTTTAGCAGATCAGATATAGGATCACAGCAGCCTGGTTTGAGCCTGTCGAACTCTAAGGTGATGATGACCAAAGCCAGTGTGGAGCCCTTGAACTGCAGCAGCTGGTGGCCCGCCATACAGTGCTGCAGTTGCCTGGTCAGGGATGCGACGTGGCGGGAAGGACTCGTCTGAGGCAGCAGATTCATCATGTGGGGCTGGCTCAGCATCATTAGGGCGTGGAACTAGACACCATGGTTTTTAATGTTAGAACAGAAAACCCCATACTTTTCATACAATCAGTGACCAAAAGTCCAAACAATTTCAGTTTTCCAGTGGGGAGCATCCAATAGGACCCCAGTCCTTTTCCTTTCTGTCCAGGGTCCCAGAAGGGGCTTGAGGCTTACTGTCCATTCTGTGGCCAACTAAGCTTCAGCCCTGGAGAGAAAAGCACTTTGCTTTGCGATATGGTCATGAGGAGCCTAAAGTATCTAGATAAATGTTTCCATTCTGAAAAATAGAAACAGTGTTCAAGATCAAGGTAGGAGAAAAGTTACTTGTATATGTTTGACTTAAACTGCCACAGTGGCCAGTTCTCAGTGGAAACAGCCCTTAGCGATTTAATTGATTTAATCTTCCCAGCTTCCTAACAGACCCAAACCCCATGACATTTCCATCGCATCATTTTGCCTTACTAACAATCACATCCTTAAGGACGATCATTCCCCCAAGACAAACTAATGTGTGATATTTTCTAAGTGCCAGATCAATATGGTCTAAAGCTTCAGTAAGGATTGTGTGTAGGTGAATAAAGACAGCTAAGTGAATGTGTGTAAAGTGTAGCAAAAGCAGACAGATATTTATGTACAAAATTCATAGAACGGAAAGTTAAATATTTTTGCAGTGTGTATTTAAAAAGAAACCATAATAGTGGCATCTAAATATCTTTGTCAAGTTAATTTATTGTCCTGTAAAAAGGAGAGGCTGGTGCAATGGTGTTGGACTTACGACACGTTTTCACTCTTCCATGTGCAGTGAGCCTTGTAGGTCACCTCACTGTGGTGCATGTGCAAGGACCTGTGCCACTTGTGCTTTGCTGTCCTGTGTCGTGAACAGCTGTCCCAATGGTACACATGAGTCTCGGGGAGACTCTGCAAATGCCTTGCGCTTACTATGTTCAAGAAGTCCAGAGGTGTCGCAACGTGGAGGTCCCAGTGCAGGTTCCTCAGAATAGATATCTCCATCCTCTGCAGCTTCTTCTGGGAATAGCGGGAGCCAATGTGCTTCGTGAAGTCCGTTACACATGGAATTGACTGTAAAAAGACAATAAAGAGGCCAAAGCTCTACATCACGTTATAGTAGCTTTTGTTGTCTCATGTATAGGGACTGGGTATCCATAACCTGAGGAGAGTTGTCATCTAGCAGCCTGCCACAGGAAATGTTTGAGAGGAAACACCAGCCAGCTGCTGGCAAGTCCCCAGGAAGCTGTGACACTGCTCAGACTCCAGTGTTCTGGAGGCTGGGGCTGTGCCATCTCTGGTCAACCACAACAACTTACCCAGTGTTTTCTTGGAGCGATGGGGTCCGATATCCCTGTTCCCCAGCCCTCTCACAGCTATTCACAGAGAGGACATTTAGGCTTTTGGGTTTCCTGCGAAGTGTGTTTACAAAACCTCCCCCCAGTTTCTATTGCACTACAACTGCATATACCTTCCCTTCAACCTTAATTGAAGGTAGTACAGGTCTAGGAAAACTAACTTTTCTCCAGCAGTATGTACTAGGCCAGAGGAAATAACTAAGGTTGTCTGTGAAGGGGCCGGGGAGATGGCTCAGTAGAATAAGGGCCCGAGTTCAATCCCTGCTTCTGCCAAAAAAAAAAGTTGTGAGTAAACATTAAAGTACCAAGAGCATTCAAGTTTCCTTCTTTTTGCAGATGAGCAAAATATTCCCAGAGATACTTCTTTTAAGGGTCATTTATTTTTTTGTTGGACAAAAACAACTTGGATACAAATTATGTTTAACCAACAAGGATTAAAACTGTTGAATGTTCAGAACTGGATGCACACGCCCTCATCCTCAGACCCACATCAACCCAGGGAGACTGAAAAGGGTCGTGATTTCCCCATCACTGCAGTGGATAAGGTAGAGGGCAGCGTGGGTCTGAGAAGAGTCCTAACACACACTGGTGATCAGAAAGCCACAGTGAGGGGCTGGTGAGATGGCTCAGTGGTCTAAAGCACCTACTTAGAACAAGCTTAGCAAAGTACAGGGACTGCTGTTCAATCCCCCAGCACCACATGCCAGCCAGCCCCACCCCTTGGTGGGCTGAGCTGGCCACACACACACACACACACACACACACACAAACAAATTAAAAAAAAAAAAGAAAGCCACAGTGAAACCCTGCAGCTGAGCACACAGCTCTGCACCTTGCAGGAAAAGGTGCCAAGGACCGAGCTCCCTGTCTATGCAGCTTTTTAAAGACATAGTTTCTGGGGCCGAGGAGATAGCTCAGTAGAATAAGTGCTTGTCTGGCAAGCGCAGGCCCTACCCCCCCCCCCAAAAAAAAAGACAGTTTCTAAGGGTAAAATCAAGCCACACAGCTTAAAGGAACCTTTTCATCATAACTCAACGGCAGGCACCTCTGTTCAGTGCAAGTTGTATCTAATCTGGTCAGCAACCAGTGAGGCCAGGTGTAGCTCTGGGATCCGGCCTCTGCAGCTGTTGGGCCGGTTCAGCTGTTTCCACTTGTGGGGTCTGAGTGTTTCCCAAGCCACATGAAGGGGGCGAGTTAGCCACATTTCCCAAGTGCCCACAAACCCTGAGGCACCCACTTTCAGGACCCCGTGAGCTCTCCAAGGTTACACCCCACTCCTACGGTGCAACCTGGCAGGACCTCCACGGAGCCCTACCTCATCCTCCTCATTCAGTTTTGCAGCGAGTCTTAAGCACACGATTGCGGCGCACCGGAGCGTACTGTCTCTTACCTGCAGCATAAACACATTTGGGCAGACCCCACAAGCAAATTGGAAAGGACCCGTGAGGGATGCTTTAAGAAAATAAGCCCCCTCCCCGGGAAAGAAAAACAAAACAAAAAACACCGTTCCTCCAGGAGATTGGAGGAAAATGGAAAATGCTGCCGCTCCTACACAGGCCCGAGGGGATGCTCTTGGGTTCTGAACCACAGCTTCCTAGTCGTGCTTCCTTGTCAGGGGACGGGCAGCAAGCGGCCACACGGTACCTGCTCAGGGGCACTGCATAGGCTCGAAGCGCCGCCGCTAAGCCAGTCCTGCCAAGTGCGTCCCTCTGCTTCCTGCGGGTGTGTGGGAGGGAGACTTTTCCAGCCGGGTCCTCCCGCCTACCCATTCCAACCCTGCGGGCCGCGGGTCTCGGAGCCAGGCAGGGCGGGGTGGGCGGGACGCGGCTCCAACTTCGGCCTCCCGCTCACGCGCCGGGCTCCAGCACAGCCCTTTGGAGGCCGCCCTACTCACCTGGTAGGAAACCAAGAGGCGCCCAATGATGCTGAGCGCCAGGCTAAAAGTGGTGCAGGAGAACGTGAACTTGTTCTCCAGCCCCAGGAGCCATACCACGACTCTCCGGTAGGCGTCGCGGATCTCGGGTTGCTGGAAAGGGAGGGTTTGGCAGGGCAGGTCTCCTGGAAGGGGACCCGGAAGCCCTGGCCCTTGAGCCAGGGTGCGAGGACGGCGGGTCCGCGCCCGATCCCATTCGCTCCCGCATCTTGTCCTGAGCAGAGTTCCCCCCCGACCCCCCCCCACCAGGAGACCCGCCAGGGAGCCCCTCCCGCCCGAGGGACAAGGCCCGGGCCGAGGGGAGCCGCGAACCTGGATGCTCCCGCCCCGCCACAGGCGCGCCTCCCGGCTCAGCGCCACCTGCAGGTGAGCCAGCAGCTGGCGCTCGTCCAGGAGGCCTCGGGAGTCGCAGGGCAGGGGCCACGGGGACGACAGGGCCCGAGCCTCGGGGACGGCGGAGTCCGAGCTCGCCCTGAGCTGGGGCGACCTGGGCTCCCGCGGAGGCGCCCGGGGGTCCCGGGACTCCGGGGTCCGCCTGAGCTCGGGCGGCGACAGTGGAGGCGGGTGGGGCTTTGAGTCTGGGGAGTCCCCGGAGCTCAGCGCGGCTTCGGCTCCGACCCCGGGCGACGGCGGCTCGGAGCTGCCAGGACCCTGCGCGCCTGAGGCCATTGGGGCTGCGCCCGCCACCGTACAGGTGGGCTCTTAACGCCCGGCCCCGCCCCGCCGTCCAAAGCCCCGCCGGACCGAGCCGCTCCCGACACCTGGGGCTTCCGACCAGCTGCGGGGCCTCTCGCGCCTTGACCTCGCGGTACAACGCTCTCCACAGGTGGTTCGTGCATCCACGCATTTATCTGTTTATTGAGGGCCACGGAGTGTTAAGTGCGGGGACAGAACAATCTGGTTAGGAGAAACAAACAAGTTGACTATAGGGAAACCCGAGCGTTTCCTCTTTTGGGTCTGTGTCCTGTAGAAATCGCACCTGTCTACAAAAAGACACCTACAAAACGCTCAAAGCGCTACGATTTGTAATAGCCCCAAATTGGATCCAGCTGGATACACCTCACTCTCCAGGTGAGCTGTTGAATGAGCCAAATTGTGAGGTCTAGCTACGTTTTTGAGACAGGTCTCACTAGTTCAAGTGGACCTTGAACTCGAGCTCACAGTGATCTTCCTGCAAGTCTCCTGAGCGCAGGAATTACAGGTGTGCACCACCTTGTCCAGCAGATTGTTATATTCACACAGTGCAATACTACACACCACTGTAAACTAGCAAACTACTGCCATAGTCAATGCCATGGAAGGATCTGAAGCATCGGATAGAGTGCAAGAGAGAGCTGTTCAAGAGTTTCTGCTGCTTGACTCCCTTCTACAGGATGTTAGTTCGTTTAATTTAAAGACACAAGGTCTGAGCCAGGGATGTAGCTCAGTGGTGCAGCACCTGCCTGGCTAGCATGAGGTCCTGAGTTCGATTCTGGTACACGCACATGCGAAAAGACACAAGTTTCTCTGGGTTGTCTAGGCCCTTGTGTATTCTATTGAGCTATTTCCCCAGCCCCGAGGCCTTGATTTAAATTTCATTGTATTGTGATTTCCGTGTTGTGCTAAGCAAAGTGGACAAATAAATCTTCTAAAAATTGCAGCAACAACAACAACAACAAAGTAGTGGGCTGGAGGTTGCTGCTGGAGGCTGAACCAGGGCCTCGCACAGGCTAGGTCAACATTGTATGGTGGAGTCACACCCCCAGGCCAGAAGGTTGAAAGTTTGAACTGGAAGATTGCAGTAGGGTTCCTTGAGAAGGTGCTGAGTGAACAAAGACTTTGTAAGAGAGGTGAAGGAGTGCATTAGATAACTGCCAGCTGAGGAAGACCTCTCTGGGACTGGATGTGGGTGTGCGCTTCATCACCGCCAATATATAAGACCTTGGAAATGTTATTTAATAGCATCGTGCTTCAGTTTCTTTCTGCATAAAATAAGAATATATAATATCTATTTCAGAAAGTAACCATGTAGAATGTAGATTAAATGACTAAAGATAAAGAAAGTAGAGGTGCGCCAGCTTGCCACTGCCTTGCTGAGCCGTCTTGTCTGACGTCAGACCGTTGCCAGGGTCATGGAGAAAAACACCCCACGGAAGATGCTCTGAAATCCAAACAGAGGCATAAGGTCTTCATGGAGATTTCCAAGTACTTCTCACAGAATAAGTGGAAAAAGCTGAGCTATTCAGAGAAGATCACTTGTGTGTATTTGAAAAGAAACTACGCCACCCAGTCCGCTCTAGGTCTCACTGTCACTCCGCCAACTTTCATGCGCATCCATAAAGAGGATGTGCCAAGCAATGATGATTCGGACAAAGCTTCCAGCCATGACTTGAAGGATGAATTGCCTGAGGAGACTCAGGAAGGTCTGATGATGCCTGAGAGGCCAACACAGAAAAGCAATAATCCGGAGAGTGTGTCAAAAGCACCTGGTGAAGAACAGGCTGCGAGAGCAGAGTGCCTCCTGGGAGAAACAAGCACCTCCATGGAGACGACCTTGATACCTGATTTCAGGAAGAGAATGACGAACATCTGGAGCCACTGGCTGCATAAACAGAAGAATGCCATGAAGAGATCAGCGACCCCGAGGAAGAAGAGGACGACTGAGTCTCCTGGGAGAAGTCCGTGATGAGGAGAAAACCTGGTGATCAGCAATCACAGACATGGCCGTAAACTCCTGGCTACCATGCATATGTCAAGTGAAAAGAAGAGTTAACACCAGCTAAAAGTTAAACATTAGTCTTACTATATGCCAAGCGTTCTGTTACCACTGTTCTGTTTGATAAGCATTGTTAGCACTATTCTTACTTGTAATAAGCACTCTATTAGACATGAGCTTTCTTTTTTATTTTTTTGCTGGCTCAGCCTGCCCTGAGGGTGGGGCTGGCGCAGCACGTAGTACCGGGGATCGAACCAAGGTCCCCTGCACCTGCCTGAGCTTGTCTAGGCGGGTGCTTTAGACTGCTGAACTATCTCACCAGCCCCAGCATTTATTTATTTATTTATTTGTTTGTTTGTTTTTTAGATTGGCATGTTATCCAGCAAACATATACTTTAGGCATATTTGTGTGTACCCATGCTCCTACCTCAACAGTATTTTTTTTTTTGTGAAGGTTTTTACAGTAAGCAATTACTTTATTTCCTTGGCCTGACATGGTTGACTTCATTTACAAGAACCTGAAGCTGACAGGACACACAGAGTTCCCAACAGAAAGGATCCTTTTCATTAGCAGAGATGAAATGTCACATCAGAGTGCAATTCCTGCTCCCCACCCCCACCCTTGACCCTTAAATGAAAAGAAACTGATTAATCCCCTATGAATTACTAAAAGACATCCCTCCAAACATTTCTAATTAGCAGCTGCAGTGGATGAAAACCAGAGGAGGGAAGCAGCTGGCCGTCACTGTCACTTAGCATTCCTGTGCGTGAGACTGAGGGACAATGGCGAGGGAGCGAGAATTCTGGATGTGTGGGAAGTGTGGATCATCTACCTTTCCTCATACTTGCACTTCCACATGAAAGACAGCTCTGTCCCTCTACGTGGGAACTGCTAAAGGCAACACGAAAAAACACTGGCTGTAGCCTGCAACTTAAAGTGCCCAAGGTTGAGAATATTCCTAAGTAGGTGTGAGACAAGGGGCACCAGAGAGAGCAGGTTAAGACAGAAGCTTGTCAGTCAGTTCCAGTTTAATGCTATCAAAACTAAAGGGAATCACAATCCCCTCCTGCAAGACTGCTCTTTTTCAAAGTTAAGACAGCTCCTTCTGAGCATCTGTGTGGGTGTCTACTCCATCTCTGGAGAGGGACTGTGACATTCACATCTGAGACTAGCAGGTGATGCAGGGCGTGGAGAAATTGGAAAGATCAAGGGCTGCAATGCTTCAATTAGTGTGGTTGTCTTTTGGTCCCCAGGTGTGGTCCACTGCCACAATTCCTAAGAAATTCCTGTTCCCTTTCCTACTTGTGCAAATGGCAAAAATCGAATCTCTGCCCAAAGAGATGAGAGTTGCTGCTGAATTGCATTCACTTTTGGCTTTAACTTTCCCACCTTCTGACCTACTGTGAAGTCCCAAAACCTTAATTCTAGGCAATGTCATGAACTTAGGACCTCTCCCTCCTTTATCGAAGCCAATCTAGCAGCTCTGTCCTGACATGCTTTCTCCCTGGGCTGAGGAAGCAGCAAAAAAACATCAACTGAGTGTGTGAAGATATGAACGACAATGTGTGCAGTGTAAGTTTCCAAGGTCTCCTCCTTCCGTCTTCTCCATGGTGGGAGCCCTCCCGCTCTTCCCTCAAGTCCCACTCACATCCCTCCCCTACCCCCATGTCCAGGTGCTCCCATCTGCTGGGCTTCCATCACTCACTTCCCATACACACTTTCATCACTGTAGGCCACGTACAGAAAATAGTCTTCCTCGTGGTTGTCCTCATACAGCTGGCCCATGGTAGCGCTAGTGGGAGGGATAGTGTTGTTCACAAAGAAGAATAAGGCGTCCTCAGGTCTCAGGTGGATCCTCTTCCGGATTAAGAAGTAGAACTGGCCAACAGTAAGGTCAGAGGGCACTAGGTACTTCCTCTTGTCCAGATCAGGCACCCTGGCCTTAGGAGCCTTCTCCACGATGACCGGGACCCTGTCCGGGTACTTCTTTCGGATCTTTTCTCCTTCCTTTTTCCGATACTCGAAGGGATGGTCCTCCTTGTGCTGGAACTTCATGGTGGGCCGCAGGCTCTCTTTCCAGATCCCCGCGCGGGGCCTGCCTCCCTCGCTGAAGAGTGCGTCGCGCGCGTCCCGCCGGCTCAGGCCGATGGCAGGGCTCCCAGAGGATCGCTCCAGAAACTGTAGCTCCCGTGGCCACTGCACCTGACCAGCGTTCAGAGAGCTCCCAACAGTATTTTTTTTTAAAGAGCAAGTATTGTCTGATCTGCTCTGCACTACTGTACCTCACCACAGATGGAACTACTGAGGCCACTTGTAGGTACTTAAATCCAGATTTTTCTTTGCACTTATACACCCACATGATGAGCATCTGTCATCTGCTTTGCTCACTGAACTTCAGGCACATGGAGTAGTCCTGGCTTTCATTTACCTCGTAGTAGTTACTGATGGTTAATAAACATTTATAGCATTTCTCAAAAAAGAGAGAAAGAAAGAAAAGTACCCAGAAAAATACACTGGTAGTAAACAGAAGGCTTTGCAGATTTCCTTACTTTCTACTGTAAGCACACAGCCCTTGCATGCTAAGATGAAGCTTGCTTGGAACACGGTAAGAAGGAGGCCTGGTAGGGCTGATGCACAGGGCGTGGGAGGGAGGGTTGTAAGGGACAGAAGGCTTGTGGTTTTTCTCTAAGAAGAAGGAAAATTAATGGAAAATTTTGAACAGAGAAAAGACAAGATCTAATTCATGTTTTAATACCATTCCTCTGGCTCCTCTACTGAAAATAGAGCTGCCCCTACATATCCATTGAGGATTGTTGCAGGCCACCCCAATAACAGCACCTGTTGAGTAATTTACATAAAATGTCCTGTACGTTACACACATCCACCTGTTTAACTCTGTTTATTTTTCTCTTGTACACTTAAAAAAAAATCTCTAGATGGTGCAGGATAGGTTCTTTTTATTCTTTTGGTAGAACCGGGGGTTGAACTCAGGCCCTTGCACTTGCCAGGGAAGCACTTATTCCACTGAGCCATCTCCCAGGCCCCTGGTTAGGTTCTATGCAAATAACTGCCATACTATATTGATTAGGGAATCATGACCAGAAAAAAAGTCTATACATGTTCATTGCAAAATTTTTCCCTGGATATTTTAAATTTGCGATTAATTAGATCTATAGACACAGAACTCACAGATACGGAGGCTGACTATATAGTGAAAGGGGCCAAGACCGTAATCAAGATAGTTGTGAGCGATCGTTGTAATGCTAGTGAGAGCGGTAAGCAGTGCTGCTTTGAAGAGAGATCCAACAAGCTCTACTGAGAAATTCAAGGATCGGATGTGAGGAAGAGACTGCGGTGATTGTGCCGTCGTCAGAATTCATTTGTTGAGATGGAGTCTAACAGGGAGCCTTACTTTGGATGGGGTGGGGCAAAGCAGCGAGAGCAAGTGGGGAGGGATCAAGATTTATACACAGTGGACAGGTTAAAACTCGAAATCCCTGCTACACATTCACTCGTGTGCGCTGACGCTCATGGGAGCGGTTCGGGTTGGGAAGAGGATGGATTTCACAACTATTTATTGAAATCTGCCGGGTTCTACTTTGGATTCGGGAAATAAATTTGAGAATGCAGGTCACTTAATGGTAAATCGTCATAAATTAGCAGTCCAGCAAAGTAACATAGGGAAGGTCTTCAGCTCTCCATATGGAGCACAGTGCTATTATTGTGCTCCACAACTGCTATTACTGTTTTTAATTATTGCTCAAAATACTGTATATGTCTCGAGATCTAAGGCAGGCGCGTCCCCTCTCCAAACCGGGTCAGCCAGGTAACCCCGCCCCTCGGTGCGGACCAGGTGGGCAGCACCGCGCAGGCGCAGTCTGGTTCTGGCGCCCAGGAGAGGGCCTCTGAACGCTTTTGCGCAGGCGTGATTCAAAGCGCGGCAGGACCTCGAGACCCGGGGTTGGGCGGGGCCGGCTCGCCGCGCGCCTGCGCACTGGGCGCGCTTCCCTGCGCGCCGCAGTCTCGAGAGCGCCGAGGAGGTGTCCACGGAGTCCTCGACCAGCCGCTCCCGCAAACCCGGGCTTACTGTAGGGCTGCACCCCATCGGGCCGTCCGCCGGGCACGGGAGGGGACACCATGCCGGTGAGAGAGCCGCTCAGCCACTGAGGCTCCTACTGCCCGCGGCCTGGCTCGGGGGCGCGGCCGTTGCC